TCAGGAGAAAAGCGATGCCTAATCTTAGGGGAAGACGCTCAACTTGTGCATTTCATCCTACGCCTAGCGCAGACGGGCAGATTACTCCTGCCTGCTAACAACAGTCTGTAGGGGCTCAAGGCTGAGTAAAAAGCTGCCTCAAATCCTTGGGAGGTTTCCTCAAAATCTAACAGAAGCGGAAACCTAATTCTAGCTTAGTCTGTGCGGTCTATGGCTATCTTTTCCTCTCCCTTGCCAGACTGTGGCTGTAGCAGGCCACAGACTGCTGTGAGTACCGTGTTCCTGTAAATGCAAGAAGCAGAGCTGTTAGCTGTCTTTCCCTTTTTTTTTTTTCCCCCCCTGCAACCATGGCTTTCAGTTTCTCTGAACCTCCCGAGGATGAATTTCTCTGTTTCCAGCCCTCACAGTGACTGGGGCTTCCCTCCTCCCTTCATCCGGAGGCTGCTGCTGGGGACTCATCTTCTCCCAAGCGTTATTAGCATGCCCAGGGCATGGGATGCAGTTGCCATGGCAATGGGATGATTTCGGCTGGCAGCACCAGCAGATAGTACGGGAGCTCCTGGGCCGTGGGCTGAGCCGTAAATGCAGCTCTGGCTGATGGTGCACACAACTTAAATTGCATTTGCCCTTCACGGGAGCCATATGTCTCCCTGCGTGGCTTTCCTGCCAGCCTGTGTGCAGCCCTCCAGCTCCGCGCCCTTCAGGGGACGGGACTGTTAAAATTGGGGATCTCTGTAAAAGCTGCTGCTGAGCAGCACAAAAAAAAATCCTCTGGCTTTGCAAAGCCCCTGGGCAGTGATGATGGCACTTGGCTCTCCTCATAGGACCAGGACAGAGCTCTGTTCCTGTCCTCATGGCAGGTCAGGGGCTGGTCTTCATAGCCTGTTGCCTTCCAGATCTGATCTGCAAATGGAGAATTGGTGATCTGGGAGGGCGTTTGGGATTTGAGCTGTTTGTACTTAAAAGGTGGCTTTGTTTTCTTTGACCTTGGTATGAGTCAGGTAGTGACTTCCAAAAAACTCAGGAAAGGGCTTCAGGATGTGAGTGGTAAGTCGGGTAAAACAAGAGACAAGTCTCAGGAGTGTCCTCTTGTGCCACTGTAAGCTGAGGTAGTGCTCTTATTGGATTAGCACTACTGTTAATTAAGGCCCAGCTCCCCCAGCAGATGTCTAATGGCACCTGGGTTTGGACAAAAAAAAAAAAAGCCTATCTCTGGCTGATGGTGTTGGCTCCTGACTGCCCAGCAGGTACCAGCCTCCCTGTAGCTGTAATGCGTGCTGCCCCTTCAGAAGGGGAAAAGAGTCGTCCCTGGGAGCAGCAGAGGTGCAGCACCCTTTGAGCAAGGGCTGTTAAATGCAAACTCCTTTGGCATGTGCTGCCTCGGCCACCAAAGCTTGCTGGCTACTAAGAAGGGTTTTGTCATCTTTGCAATGACAAAAGGGCCCGGTTCTCTCAATGCTGTCTCTTCAAGGTATGAATGCATTAACCCAGCAGCTAGTGGGATTGCAGCAGCCTTTACAGGAGCAATCTTTGCTAACCAGAGGCCAAGCTGGGCCAGTGTGATTTAGACCGAGCCCCTCGCTCACCAGCCCCCCCGGCTGTTTCTCTCTGCTGGTAGCAGACAGCAGCTGGGGTGGATTTGGTCTCAAGGTGTCTTATGCTGTTTTGCTGCTTCTAAAATGTCACTCACCGGTGCAGCTCCGCAGCAGCGGCAGTAGCCGAGCCTTTGCCAAAGCATCCAGCAGAGAGGTAAGTCAGGAGAGCACCCACCCAGGCATCTACACTCCAGCGGCACTGGCTGCTGGGAGAGCAGGAACTGTGGCCAACATGTCAAGAGTGCTTAAATAAACAGCAAACCCCTGCCCAGTTCTGCAGTGCAGTGTCCGTTGCTCCTGGTGAGTGCAGGACCCTCCTGGAGAATCAGATTTTATCATTATTGGAGTCTTAATGCAGGAATTTCTCTGCAGCAAGCCGCAGGCAGTAGCTTGGTGAAATATCTGCCTTGATATTGTATCCCAGTGTGAAGCCTTGACATACCGGTGCCCGAAGGTAGTGGGGAAGGGAGCCTGAACACACAGTATTAGATCCCCTCTAATCAGATTAATCTAAACAGAGATTAAACTATATCCTTGAAGCAGTTGGTGATCTGTTGTTTGTGTAAAACTGATTCTTGTCCTTTTTTGATCTTATTGCTGGATGTTTGGGGGGCTGTGGAGGGTGAATTTAGGCTTATTTGGTGTGGGTACGGCTGCATCCTCTGTGTGTCCGCACATGCTTGTGAAGGATGAGGGCTGACTGGGGTCTCATGGCCAATACCCATCATGGGATGGCTGTCCTCAGATAGACAGAATATTTCCCATCCCTCTGGGACCCTGGTGTTGACTCCCACCTCCCCTAAAACAGGAGGCAGCTGGGATGGTGGTGATGGGACACGGCAGGGGTGATGTCCAGCAGGACAATACCTGGAGTAGGGAGGTGGTGGTGTGTTTTTTTGGGAAGCTGGCTGGAGGGTGGGTTCCCCTGCCATGCCATGGACTGCAGGGCTGGGGAGGGCAGCAGGCAGCGAGCTGCTGCCTGCCAAGTTATCTTTTCCCCTTTCTGCAAACCACATCTGCATTGTTCAGTTTGGGGGGGGGGGGGTTCTCTTTATGTTTTTTTCAGTAAGCTGAGACAGCTATTTTTATTCTCGAGTTTCCTGCATTGCTGCTTTACTGAGGTATGTGCTGCTCTTGCAGGTCTGCGGTTGCCTATCTGTTGCTGACCTGCTCCAACAGCACTGCTCTAAGGCAGCAGCTTTCAACCACACTCCTCCACATGCAGCTGGCTTTCTGCTCATTTACCTTCATTTGACCACACTTCAATTAGCCTTGGGCAGAGGTGCTAATGCTGATTCTGTAAATAGATAATTGCTAATGCTGGAGCACACGAGCTCCCAATGCAAAGACCAGAGGCTTCTTAAGACCCACAAAGACCCATTTCATGTGGTCTGGGAAGGGACAGGAGCTGCAGCTATCCCATAGTTTGCTGTGTAGCCCTCAGGTGAGACCTTGGTTCAGCCACCGGCTACATGGATGGAGATGTGGGAACTGGAGGCTGCACAGTCTGAGTTATAGCCCTGAAACAGAGATCAGCGTTGTGCTCAAAGCCTTCAGATCCCCAAGAATGAGTGAGACCTCCCAGTTGTCCTCTGCAAGGAGCTGCAGTCTGCTTTCAGTGGACTGCTTAGCCCTGGTCACCTCTTTCAAGAGCTGCTACTGTGAGAGGACAGTTGGATTGCCTGGCTTTGCAAGAGAATTTATCCAAGTTCTTGCATGTATTTGAAAGTGAAACTGAGCTGCAGCATGACATGCTGCCCTGATGCCACGCATGTTCAGTGTGAACCAGGGATGGTGCTGTCTCTGTGCCTCCCACCCATTCTCCTGCACTAGTCAGTAACTTTGCTAAAATCCTGCAATCTGTTTCTGCCACCCAATTTGGGAGTCCCGTTTTAACTCTTGTGAAAGAGAAACCTCTGACCCTTTCAAAAGGCAGTTTTCCCCTTCTTGCTCTCTATCTGCATTATAAACCTGAAGCGCTGCCGTGGGATGTCTTTGGTTTCTTTGCCATCCCATGAGAGCAGTTACCATCTGTTCAGTGTCAGATTTCCTCTCTGGGCTTTTCCTGGGAAGTGTTGTGCACGGAGGGCTTTGCCTCCACGGCGGCCAGCGCTGAGCAGTCTGGAAATGTTCCTCTTGCAAACAGTTTCCTCTGCACCATGTGTAGTTCTCCAGATACAGCGAGGGTGGCTGCTCGGGACAGATCTGGCTGTGGGCAAGAGCATCCTCTGTGATGCAGGACGTAGCTGACCCCGAGCGAAGGACCAGGACCTGAGTGGTAAAGCACCGCGGTGTTAGGACTGACCCAGCCGCTTCTTGGTAGTGTGAGAGACTCTAGCAATAACTGCTGTTGGGGTCTGGTCAAGCCCAGTTGGAGGTGTTTGCACACTGAATGTACCCTGTTATGGCAGCGATTTGCCTCTTGCTCTTTTTCCCTGTCTCCTGGAGGTGGGAATGGCCGTGTGAAGCTTACCTGTCTGCTTGGACAGGGCTTGTAGCAGCCTCCAGGTTTAAGATTAGATATTTACTTTTTCCCAGTACCTGAGTTCTTCTAACTGTTAATTTATGTTTTCTATAGCAAATGCTGCATGCACTTTCAGAAACTGCTATATGGCACTTTAGAACAATAGCTGCTGGCTTGTAGCCAGACCACGAGGGAGGTCTCCTGCTTTACACTCCCATTCTGGGCATGTCCTAAGGATTCACTAAACATGTTGAACTGGTGCAGATAAGTAGTGCAGACTGTGCCCCAAGACCGGCATGGTTATGCTGATATGGTTTATGCCAGGGTCGTGATATTCTGCAGTACCCAAAAACCATAACATGAGGCTTGTGGGGCTGAAACTTCAGTAAAATAAGCAAGTAAAACCACCCTGCTCCTCTCTGACCCTTCAGGGCTGCAACAGTGAAACAGGCAAAGTCATTGTAAACCAGAGCGTTAGCAGCACTTACTTGGACTAATGTTACCCTGAGGACTGTTTGATGAAACATTGAAGATGTGTTAATGTCTCTCCAGAAATCAGACAGGCACAAACCTGGAATGGCTTTGTCCCCTGAGGAAAAAAAAAAAACCTCCCCTTCCCCTTTTTTTGATAGAACTGAAGTTAATATATTGAGATTGGGAGAGAACCCAGTGAGTAATGTATATCTGCTGGGGAAGGCGTCAGGCGCAGATGAGCATGCACAGTGAGAAATCCCATCATCCCAGATGGCTACCGCTAAACCTGCGTGTCGACGTGTCCGCAGCCCTGGTTGTGTTGCTGATCACCGCGATGCTCTGGAGCGGGGCCAAAGCACTTGGATCTCCTGGGGGCTGCTGGTTGTGTGGGGTGGGTGGGAGAGGGCAGTGAGCGTGGGCATAGCCCATGGGAATACCATGACTAACAACCTCCCTTTTCTCCGCAGACACTACCCGAAGCAGTCCTTCACCATGGTGGCAGACACTCCCGAAAACCTGCGTCTAAAGCAGCAGAGCGAGCTTCAGAGCCAGGTGAGCGTGCAGGTCTCTCCTCGCCCAGGGCTGCCGTACTTTGCCCCGTCGCCCTACGTTCTCCCGTGCTCCGGTGCTTTCCTACGCCCTCGCGCAGAGGAGGGAGAGGCGGGTTTGGGGTGTGGGTCCCTCCTTTCAGATCTCGCCCATCCTGGCTGTGTTTGCTGTTCCCTTTATCTGTGGCTGCTGGGATCTCCCAGAGGTGGGAAGGGTCCAGCAGGCAGCCCCCCTCTCCCAGTCCGTGCCTTGCACCAGTTTACCTTTTCCCAGCTGACATCCAGCCACAGTGGCTTCAGCTGGACAGACGTTGACTCTCTAGGCAAGTATTTCAGGTAAACCCAAATCTTGTAGGACTTGAAAGCTGTGGCAAGCAGAAATAAACAGATAAAAGGGATAACGACTGGCATAGATAAGGATTTCTTTCTCTAGTGGGAAGAACAGAGCCTGTTTGAGAAGGGTATTGTCCAGACCTGTCCCATTTTATACCTTGAAGGTGTCCCTGGATCAGCAAAAGTCCCCAGCCTTGACACAGGGCTGTGGGCTGGCTTCTTGTCCCGATAACTCCTGATGATGCAGTGGGAACTGGTCCCTTGGGTGGGCCAAGGAGCAATCCCCGGTTTCCTTCCCTTACTCCAAGACACTGAGAACAGAAATGCGAGCATCGGTTTTGCAGAGAAATGGCTGGAAGGGCAAAGTTGGCACAGAAATGGGCAGCATTGGTGGGTGACCCTTCTTCGTGGAACTTTGCTCTGCTGAAAGGCTGTGTTGAAGCATCTGAGACTAAGCCCTGAACAGTTGTTGTGAGCTTTGATGTTGCAGAACTGCAGACATGTGCTCAGAGTACGCTGCACTGGAAGAAAATGCATCCAGCGGCAATTTTGGCTTGAGTCAGCGTCTCGCAGGAGAACACAGGATGTGGCAACTGTTCTGGGAATCTATTTAATTTATTTTTCTTCCTTTGAGAAGAGGCAAAAAGACTGCCCAGGGTGTTGTCAGCAAGGCACATTGGCTCAGCTCAGCATTGTAAGTGTTGGTCCTGGGTAGAGGGAGGACAACTCGGGATTTGCCGTAGTGTTTTCAGGGTGAGCAGTCATTTTTCAGGATCAGTGCACTTCTCTCCCTGCTGTGCTGTGAAGGATGCAGTGACCTTCCTTCCTTCTCTTTCTATTAGCCTGAGAGTGTCAGGAGCTGAAAAGCAGATTGCCTAGGAATGCATCCCACTGGAGGAGGAGGGGGAACCTCGGGACCTCACCTGTTAGAGCTGGTGGTGCTTGTGCAGCCAGCATCGAGTTTTGAAACCTCTGCTTTTGTAAGGTGTCTTCCTCAGAGCAAGTTGCCCAACAGCTCCCTGGCTTGCACAAGTGCAGCTTGGCTCAAGCTTAGAGCTAGAGCTCAGCCTGGGTCTCACTTTGTGTTTCATAGAGTGGTTAAGGGGACACAGTTGCTTTTCCATGGTAACAATCAAGATAATGCTGCACTGAGTGGTCTGGAGTCTCAGTGCTGTTTTTACAATGAATTCAGGCTCTTCATTAGTTGTTGCTTATTAAAGGAGACCCTGGGGAGGGAGCATGCTCCGCTGCCTGGGCTTTTCTGTAGCTTGTTGGGACTTTCAGCTCCTTGTGGTGTGCGGGAGGTGGCTGGAAGCAAAGTCAGCTGCCTTGCAGGGGAAGGGGTGTCCTTATTCTTTTGAGCCTGCACCTCCAGAAGTTGGTCACTACAACTCAGACACCAGCAGGACCTCTGTCCCTGGGAGAGAAGCGGCCATGCCCAGCTCCTGGTGGTCTCCTGGACTTTGGGGGCTTGAGCTGGGATAGCACAGGGCTGTAACAGCCTTCTGCACTCTTGGTTGCACGTGAACATGTCAAAAGAGGGGCTGGGGTGCAGGCAGGGTCTTCCCATCTGCCAGGCACCAGCATCCCACCTTTTCAGTGCTGGTCTCATGCCAGGATGAGCTGCAAAGTAGGACTTCTCTGAGCAAGAAGAAGAGGCTGCTGGGGAGGGTGCTGGCTGTTTGGGTGCTGGCAGAGCCCCTGCGGAGGGATGCAGGAGCGGTGGGAGGGAGGTGGCAAAGCTGAATCGGGTAGAAGCTGCCAGGCTGAAGGGCCTGGAGCCCTGGGGTGGATAGATCCTAAACACACTTCAGATAATATCTTAATTTCTCTCTGCCTTTGTTCTGCCTACAAAGGGAGTCTCCTATTTTCCAAGCGCCAAACATTTGTATTTCTCGAAGCGCTCTAGCTAAAACACTAGCAGCCACTCTGGTTTATTGACAATCCCTTCTTACTAATTGCAGGAGCTGAGCAAACCCCAGGGGATAAGAATAGGTCACTTCAGCCCTTCCAGAGTTGGCAGCGGGGTTAACAGTCTTGCAAATTAACTGGATGAACTGGAGCTGTTAGTGGGGACAGGGAAAAGCTTGTGGAGAAGGGCTTGCTGGCTCTGCTTTGCAGTGATGACAGCTTAGCAGGACGGCTTCTGCACTACAGTTTGCCAGTTCAAGTGCCACCTAAAAAGTGCATCCTGGCTAACGTTGCTGAGACAGGCAGAGGTCTGCATGGGGCTCTAGTAGTAAAGTCGCTTGTGGATTAAGATCAGGGTTGTGTGAACAGTTGCATCTTGCCTTCAAGCTTGTATTTGCCAGCTGAACTCAGTTGCGGCCGAGCTTTTGGTCCTCGGCGCGAGGATTCCCTGAGTGCATGTCCCTCCGAAGAAGCTGTGGCTGGGAACAGCTGGGAGCTGCAGTAGGAGAAGGGAGATCACTGGGTCTGTGTCCTCTGCAAGGGGTTTCTATCTAGTGGAGGGTCATTCCCTGGCCAAGGGAGGGATGCTGCCCAGCACTTTTGCCTGTTCCTCTGGAGCAGAGCTCCTGTGGGGCTGGAGAGCTGCTGTCCTTGTGGATGACCCCGAGGAGGCTGATCCTGTATTTCCTCCCACCAAAAATACACAGCCTGTCCACCCTGGTGTGACTGGAAAAGCCGGTTGTTCACCGGAGGGTGGGGATGGGGCAGCTGCGTGCTGAGCTGGAGCGGTTTCATGTCACTCCCGATACCGCGGTTATTTGTGTCTGCTGAGAAGGCGTCTTCTGTTCCGGTCACTGGTAGACGCTGGATAATGTTGTCTTGTGCAGCTAAATGAGTCTCCAAAGTGACAGCTCTTACGCCTGCAGCCTTGTCTTACAGCCCACGTGTGGCAAGAAAATTGCAGGTTCTTGTCCTATGGCTCCTCTTTCAAACTCTTAAAATGGGTGTTTTTGGGTGCAGCCCTTCCTGCCAGAGGGTGGAGGTTCCCGTGGTGTGGGAGGCAGGTGCCCGTCTCCTGGCCCTCCTGCAGCCCTGCGTCTGTCACCCCCGGGAGCTGCCGTCGGTGACATTAAACCCTCCTCTGCATCTACGTTCTCGATGTGCTCGAGCCAAGACCTGCAAGGGGTTATGATGTGTGAAGGGCCGTTCTCCAACTCCCTTTGAATAACGCATGGATGCACAAGTCGTCGCTGTCTTTCCTATCATAGAGGGAACAATTCCCCTGGGGAAATTACTTGCGGATCCCATTTTACAATTATTATTATTATGGGATGAGGTGTGGATACGGCACTGTCTGCATCGCTCGGCTCTTTAAAACGGTGTGTGGCTGAAAGGCAGCTACGAGCCAGAGCGCTGGGAGTGGGTCTGTGGGTTGGCAGCAGCGGCAGGAGCGATGGCTCTGCAGCCCCTTGCACAGCGCTGAGCTGGTTCCCAGCGGTACCCGTGTGCCCCGTGAAAGCACAGCGGGATGCACTGAACCGTGGATTTCTGTCCCTCTTTATCACCCGAGGTCACCTGCGCTCGAATTTCCGAGGAAGCAAAAGGAGCAGGACCCTGGGAGCGTGGCTGGAGCAAGGATTTGTGCGTCTCTAAAGGCATCCTGGACTGGGAGTGGGATTCCTCTATGGCTGGGGGTCACGGGTCACCTTTCCCCACCCAGCACTGCCTGCCAGACTCCTGCCTGCGCAACCCGGTGTCCATATAAGGGCAGGGAGAAGCTGAAAAGCGCCTTGTCTGAATGTTTCCTCCCTCCTTTCCGGCTTTCTCCCTCAGCCCTGGCGATGGCTGCAGCCCAGCAGGACCCAGCCGCTCCTGTGCCGAAGCCAGGAAGGGCCAGGGATCCTGTTAAATTGCAATTCCCCCGTGCCGAGCACGGGGACGGTGTCTGCCCAGTGGCCTCCCTTGCTTCCTCCCAGCGTTGCCCTGATGCTTGTGCCACGCTCTGACTCCTGTGGCCAGGCGTGCTGGGGTGCACGAACCCCAGCTAGCAGGGAGCACCAGCCTTGGGTGTGCGTTTTGGGTTAGTCCTGCTCCCAAGTACCAGTATCTTCGCCCATGACTCCAGGATCAGTCCCCCCTGCAGTCAGGCGTCCCCATGTGGCAGTTTTTTTGGGCCAAGTTCCTGTACCCTGAAAGATAGAGGGGTAAAAAAAACAAGGAAGATGGAGGGGGGTGGGATTTAGGAGGGCAAAAAAGCAGAACTTACCAAAGGAACTGCTTAGCCTTGTGATTAGTTTATCGCTTGGTGACTCTTTATCTTTCTAGCTTGGATTTCTTACAGCTCATCAACTTGTGCGTTTGCAGCCAGCACAGTGTGCCCTTCTTGGGGCTGGCTGAGCAGGAGGCTGCAGGATAAACCTTCTTCTTCCAAGCAGCATCTCCAAGCACAACGGCAGGGCCAGCATCCCAGGGCCAGGCTGCAGAGCTCTCAAGGAAAACAGCCTTTATGGAAAGCAGAGCAGATAAAGGACAAACACAGCCCCTCTGCCCGCCTGTCCCTGCAGCTGAGCAAACTGGGGCTGGTGCTTTGCAGAGCAGCTGGCGGGGCTGACTCAGTCCCTCCTGATCCCCTGTCCGGGTGTGTGTCATAGGTTTTATGTCGCAGTTCTGTTAACCTTTGGTTCCTTGTGCCCAACAGTTAACACCTCGAGGCTGCTCCTTCCTAATTGCTGATGTTCAAGCTATGTTCTTTACCCAGCCAGCAAAAGATTGGGGTTTTTTTCTCTCCCTATTATTGCTTCAAGCAAAAGGAGACTTCTGCCTTGAAACCGGTGTCTTGTGTTCCTCTGATGTGCTTTGGCATCTTGGATGTATGAATATCCTCCCAGGGTGGACTCTGCAGCCTTGTTCATTAAGCCTTTGCTTTCTAATGTCACGTTAGAGTTAGCAATCCAAAGTGACTCGTAGATCATACCATCTATCTAAGGGTTTCACAACCTATGGCTGTGAAGAAGGGGCAGGGGCTCTGATGTGCTTCCAAAGCTTGCATTTCTCCTGGTTTGCAAGGTAGAAAGAGCAAATGTTGTGTTTGCAAGCAGAGCACCAAGCTCTGGGCTATCTTCACCACTGTAGCCCATGCAGCCAGTGGCGAGCTCTCCCTTGTGCCTACCGGTGCCCATTGCAGAGCTGGTGCCTGGCATCCCCTCCTGCTCCAGACAAAACCCTCTGAGCCACCCCAGCCTCCTGGCAGGACCGGCTGGGATGTGGGATGCAGAGAGCTGGCCTGAGCCCGCAGCCCCTCTGCAAAATGGAAACCACGGCGTCTCGTTTTCCCCTGGAAATCTCTTTTCCTGTGTTGTTCTGGACCACAAAATGGGCAGGACCCTGCTCCGTGATGTGCTGCATGCCCGCAACCCCAGCTGGCTCCAGCACCGGCGGGATCTGACCTGGGCACATCAGCACGGCCAAGATGCTGCCTGCCGTGCCAGGTCCCGCGCTGGAGGCAGGCAAGGCCACGGGAGAGCCCGGACAGCAGTGGAGGTGTGTCTTGGCTTCTCCAGAAGATATTATAAAATGTTTGGCAGCCTTTCCCGAAAGGTGTTTCCAGGCCCAGCTGGACACGCTGTCTGGATGGGAGGCGAATATGTGAGGTCTGAAGGAGTGTGTCCGTAGGAGTGTGTGTTGGGGAGAAATCAGCTTTATCCCGCCTCCCCCACCGTGCTGCCGGTTCTCTGCCTCCGAGATTTATCTTGGCACGGCACGCGAGCGGGGCGCCAATCCGCGAGCGCAGCCCTTATCCTGCGAGCTCTTTCTTTGCGGGGCCAGCCCAGATTCCCGACCGTCCGTCTGGCAGGCTGCCGTCCGGCTGCGGGATGGGAAGGGTTACGGGAAGCTGCCTTGTGCTGGCCAGACACGTTGGTGTCTGGCCCCTGTGTGCTTCGTGAGCATTTCCCTGCTTGGGGAGCGATGCATCGGCCGCTCTCCCAGCCCGCTCCAGCAAAGGCAGCTCCTGCTCCGCTTCTCCCACCACCCGAGGGGGTGAGCATCGGCACACGCAGAACCGGGCTGCTGCGCCTGTCCGTGCCGGTTGCGCGGGGGGGGTCCAGAGGTTTGATCTGCTCGTGTGAGAGGCAGTGGTGACCTTTTTGTTTTGGTGACAATGTACAACTGTCCTCAGTGCGCAAGGTGAGCTCTGGGGAGGTGAATCCCTGGAAAGGGCAGCTTTCGCTGCACATTGGGCAGAGCCCCTTTAGGTTCTTTCCTCCCTAAAGGGGCAGAGGCAGCTCCTGAAGCCATCGGTGAAGGGCCAGACTCCCACAGAAAGGATGGAGGAGGTCACAGTGTCTCTCTGCCCATCCGCTTCCCCCCCCGCCATGAAAATAGGGCATCTTTCAGGCTGCTTGGACCTGAAAGTAAGCAAAGCTGCTGTGTTGGAGCAAGCCAGGCAGCTGAGTGCTGTTTCCTTCCCTGTTGGAGCCATCGAGTCAGTGGTTGGGTTTCAGCTTCTGCAGAAGCTGCTTCTGCTTCTGTGTGACTTGAGTGGGAGCAGCGGTCCTGCACAGAGCGGGGCCAGCTGGGACTGGGGACCAGGACCAGCAACCCCCGGAGCCAAGGCTGCTGAGGACTGGGGAGCACATCTGGGCTGTGGTTGTGTGCTGTGTTAGCTCCCTCCTGGGAGAGCTGGAAAGCCCAGTCTTAAAGCTGTATAGAGCTGTATTTAAAAAAAAAAAAAAGGGGGGGGGGGGGGGAAAAAAAACTGGGACTTTTCAGCTCCTGGGTGTGATGGGAAGGGATGCTGATGTCAGTGTCTGGCAAACAGAAATGAGGATGCTTGTGTTTTGCCAGGCTCCACCTTCCAAACTCTGGTTTCATTATGGTCTTCTGGGTGTATTCCTTCCCAGAGGCAGCTAAATGTCCCCTGACGTAGAAACGCTTTTGTACGGGTGTAACTCATAAAATCCTCGGGGCTGTCAAGCAGGCAGCCTGCCATGGGTCGGCTGCTCTGTGGTACGTGACTTAGGCGCGCTGGTAGCCCACAGGAAATTCAAAATGAATCCAAGTTACCCCAGGCCCTGCTGAAAGAGAAATAAGATCAGTAGATGCATAGGAAGTTGTTTGTGTGTTTCAGCTCTTGGCAATACCCCGTTTTGCTATTACTGGGTACGTTAGGGAGTCTCCTGAGCAAGGCAGAGGCCCTGTTAGAAGCTGCTGCATCTCATGAGGCACGTGGGTCACGGTGAGGGTCTGTTGCTGAATCCAACTGCTGCGCACGCCAGCTTTCCCCCATGTTTAAATCTTTTTATTTTTTTCTTGTTTGTACCCAGATTCGCTACAAGGAGGAGTTTGAGAAGAACAAGGGGAAAGGCTTCAGCGTGGTGGCTGACACCCCAGAGCTGCAGAGAATCAAAAAGACTCAGGATCAGATCAGCAACGTGAGTAGCTTCTAATCTCTGCATGTGATATTGCCCTGACCTTCCTCCCACCAGCGCAGGCTGGGGGGGCTCTGCCCGCACAGCCAGGAGCAGACCCGCACCCTGACGGCTGCTAACGAGCACTTGAGGCTGCAGCATCTTGAAAGCCTGGCAGCGTTAATTCTCCAACCCTTTTGCCTGGGTATCCTGTGACCTCCTTGCACCTTTGCCGGCTCCTCCATCCTGGCAGATGCTGCAGCCGGATCCAGAGGGGTATCCGCATCCTTCGTGTCTCCTGAGGTGCGCAAGTCCACGCTGACTGTGAGAAGCAAGAAGGGGAGCAGCAGAGAGTGGCATTTGGTGGGGGTGAACGAGGGCAAACGTGGACCAGGGGCAGTCCCATCTGCCCCTGGTTGTCACCGTAACCCACAGCGTGGGCAGCGCACCCCCGAAGAACTCTGGTCCCTCTTGTGCTCTCTTTGGCGTGTGTTTGTGTGTGGAAACCCTGGCCAAAGGCACACCTCTTCCTCCTGTCCCTTTGCAGCTGTGACTGTCCTCTGCCAGGTTCCTCTTACCTTGACCCCTCCTGACTCCTGCAAAACCCGTTCCAGCCCTCATCCGGCTGTCAGGAGCGTTTGCTGCTGCAGCTGCTGTTGGTTTGTGCCGAGGCCGCACGCAGTCCCCAGGGTCCCACCACCTGCTGTCACCAGACCCGAGGGTAGGACCGGCAGCGTCAGCCGCTTTCCTACCTACAGCCCACATCTTGCGTTTGCCGCTGCACCAGAGCAGCCTCGCGGGGAGCTCCTCGGGGTCCCTTGGCCACGCACACCTTCTCCTCCTGCCATCATCCCACCTCTGCGCTGGTGTGGAGGGGTTCCTGGGGGGCTGCACAGCAGCATCTGCATCTCCATCCTCCCTTGACCTTCTGGAAGGGGAGCTCTGCAAGAGACCCAGCTCTCCGATTTCTGAAAATTACATTAAAAGCATGCCCAAGTTCAGTGGCAGCTGGCCTGGCAGCTTGTGCTTCACCCAGCAGCCTCCGTCCGTATCCAGGTGCTGGTGGTGGTGTGGCGTGTGGCAGACGTGGACGTCTGCGTGTTGCCATGGTGAACGAGGAGGATGCAAACTTGCACGTATAGCTGCGGCACCGGGTGCGGCAGACGTGGGGTGTTAGTTGTCCCCTGCCCAAACTCAACCCCGTGCTCCCAGGCGGTGTGGCACAGGAGCCCGCAGTAGCATCTGCCCTCAGCAGAACGTAGGGAGTTAATTAACCTTTAGCCGCTAGCGAGAGTCATGCGTGTTCCTTATCAAATGCCCAGGAGCTGTTGTGAAACCCTGGGAAGGCTGGCTTCTCCCTGACGAGTAAACCTGCCCCTGGAGCGCAGCTTTGCACGAGAAACCTCTTGGGTGTCCGCTCGACAGACGGCTTCTGTGAGCTCCTCTCCTGCTTCCACCTCTGCAGTGCCCTGAGCTGCTCGCGCTTTTCCATCCATACCTTGGGGACAAAGCTCCTGGAGTGGGAGCTGCTGTCTGTTCCCCCCCGGGTGTCCAGGGGAGAAGGGTCTGGGCTTGCAGGAATGCAGGGAGAGGGAAGACCGGTGCCTTTGCCCGCAGTGGGAGCTCGAACACGGGCAGGAGCTCGCACACGTACACAAACATGAGAATGCCAAGCGGGGTGGGAGGAGGTGGTTTTATTCCCTCTTCTTCTGATCCCATTGTGCAGGTCTCTGGCGAGTACTGATCTCTCCTGGGGGAGCTGCGGGGTGTTATCTGCACACCAAACCCCAGGACAGCGAGGGCTCGGGAAGGCTTCCCGCTTGGGAAATGGACCTGGTTGGAAGATTTTTCTCTGGGGGCAGCTTCTCAGTTGGGTCTGAGCTGGCAGGAGATGAGCACAGCTTCCCCGCCATGGAGTGGGGCTGCGGTCTTTGTTACAGAAAGCACCGCTCTTTTGAGAGAATCTGTGGAGGTTTAGGGGCATTAAATAACCCAGCAGAGAGATGAGAGCAGCCCGTGTCCCTTTGCTCGGCCCCCTTCACCCTCCCTCAGCCGCGGCAGCGGTTTTCAGCAGCTTCCCTGTGGGCATCTGGCTGCCTGCCTGGGGTTGCAGTGACCCACTTAATAAAGACGCATGAAACAAACCCACTCCCTGCAGAAAGGCTGGCTCAGCAGGCAGCATTTCACTCCCAAGGGTGCAGCTGGGCAGGCACACGGACAGCAAAGGGGACTGCCCAGCACAGCAGAGCTCGCTGGGGCACGAACGCCTCTGCAGCACAGACGTGCCCCAAACCACCCTTGGTCGGAGGGTGCCGATACGATCCTGCACGTGGGGAAACCCTCCTGGCAACGGAGCTGCGCAAAGCCTGAGCCTCTGACCGCCGCGAAATGCTGTCCTGAGGCTGTCCTTGCTCAGGCTCGCTGCAGCGGCTGGGGGAGCAGGGTGCTCCCCCCGGGGTGTTCTCCTTCCCAGGAGGGTGGCTCTGCTCCAGGCTCTGCCTTCTGCCTGTGCAGAGAGCCTGCTGCAGTGCCCTTCAGTAAATAACTGTTTAACCAGCAGACAAATGGGCTCCAGGTGCTTTCCGATGGCAATGCATTCATTAACAGAAGTGGCTATTAATTTTTACACCCACGCCCAGGCAGTTGGGTTAACCCTTCCCTCCTGCCCGCCATGGGGGGGCCCCCTCTGTGCTGGTTGCGGGGAAAGGCTCAGGCAGATGCAGCTGGTGTGTTTGGTGGTATCTGCTTTGAGTTTCCTTCAACAAAAAACCCCAAGGCCCTTTCACGCTTCAGTTAAAGAGAGATCTGGGGGTAGATTTTGGAGCTGTACCTCCACGGCACCTGCTGTACCTGGCTGTGGGCTGGGGATTTGCACACCGAATTCGGCGTGTGCAGGGGGGACTTCCTAAAGGTGGTTTTGCTCTGTGCTCCTGCAGCCTGGGGGCTTGGGAGCCTGGTCTTGATTCTCACCCACACCTGAAAAAATTGCGTATCCCATCTATAGGACACTTAAACCTCCTTCCTTTCTTTCTGTGCCACACACAAACTGGTCTGAGCAAATGTCCCTGTGGCCTGGGGAGATGTTGGGGAAGAAGCTCCCTCAGACTGCTGGCAAGGCTGTGAGATGGCTGATGCTGAGTCCTTGGTAGTGAAAAGAAATGAGCTGAGGAAAGATGAAGGATATTCCTGGCACTGAAAGGCTGCGGGGACTGCTGCCAGTGCTGGGGCCAGGCTCAGCTTCATGGAAGGTGCTGCAGGATTGTCCCAGCTGCACTCTGAGCTCTCCTTCCTCTCCTGTCGCTGTAGATAAAATACCACGAAGAGTTTGAGAGGAGCAGGATGGGCCCAAGTCCCAGTGAGGGTGCTGAGCTGGAGCGCAGGAACTCCCAGGAGAGCACCAATTACCGGAGACCCGCAGACCAGCAGCATCAGCCGTCTCATCACATCCAACCCAGCAACCCAGGTAAGGCGGGGGGGGCTGCGGGTGTCGCAGCCTGCCCCGCTGCATGGCCCTGTGTTTGCTGGGACAGCAGCCGGCTCTTCTTTGCGAGGGGCTTTGCCGTGTCTCTCATGTCCCAGCACCAGCTAACAGACCCATCCTCCCCCCCCCAGGCTACCAGCAGCAGCAGCCGTCGTCTCAGTCCTACGGCTACAAGGAGCCCGCGGCACCAGCCTCTACGCAGCGCAATGCTCCTTCTGGAGGGGGGGTGAGTACAGCCCAAGGGCTCACAGCACCCACTCCAACACCAGCCCCCCCCCCCCCCCCCCCCCCCCCCGGTTTCCACTCCCTGAGGGTCAGGGTTTGCTCTGCTTGCTCCTCACCCCTGTGCAGGGGAAGAGCAGTTCTGAAGGGGCTGGCGGGTGTAATGCTGGGTGCCTGGTTTCTGCTTGGCACAGCTATTGCTGGCACCAGCATCCCTGTGCAGTGCCCGGTAAGAACCTCCTGGATCCGGAATGGCTCTTGCATGGGGCTGGGCACAGCTCCTTGCCCTGGGACCCCCCCTCATGGATGGCAGTTTTGCCCATCTGGAGCAGAGCACAGTGAGGGTCTGTGCCCACTGACCCCCTCTCTCCCCACAGAAGCGTTTCCGCGCCGTCTACGATTACAACGCAGCTGACGAAGACGAGGTCTCCTTCCAGGACGGCGACACCATCATCAACGTGCAGCAGATCGACGACGGATGGATGTACGGCACGGTGGAGCGTACGGGCGACACCGGCATGCTCCCCGCCAACTACGTGGAGGCCATCTGAGCCGTGGGAGGGGATGGGGTGCGTGGCTGACAGCCGAGCCCCCAGCCCATGCCGGCCCCCGTGTGTGTGTGTGTGTGCGTCTCTCTGCCCCAGCATCCCTTATCCCACGTGCTCTGGCATCGCCTGCCGGAGCCACGTCCTGACATCTCGGTTACTCTGTGTTTCTGCAGCCGCCTCCGGTTTCTCTTGCCAATTTAGCTTTGTTCTAGCTCTGTCGGGACCGAGGGACTGTCTGCAAGGGATGTTGGGGGCTTGAGAGACCAAACCGCCACAGCTTTCCTTCTCCTTCGGTCTCCCTTCTCTCTAGCCCTCCCAGGCACTCCGGCATTTCCTAGCCAGGGGAAGCAGCCAGAGTCGCTGGGACCCCGGCAAAGGGAGGAGGAGACCATCTGTTAGGACCAAATTCCCCCAGCTCTGGCGGGGATGGGCAGAGGGCAGCGATGTCTGTGTAGACGAGGCGAGGGATGCTCGTCCCAAGGGCTGCCCTGGGCTGATGGGAGGAATGGGCTGGCAGCCTCCACCCTGCACCACTCTGGCTCTAGCTTGTCCCATGGCTTTTCCCGGTTCCTCTGTGCAGTGTTTCCATTCAGTCTTTGCTCCCTTCAGTCCTCAAACCAGAAGAAATTCACGGTTAGAATCTTAAACAAAATCTTTCTCCTGGGATACAGAGTGGCTGCTCTGGACAGCCCTGGAGGTGGCTCTTGCTCCTTCTGCCTCGGGCTCTGGCTGCCTTGTTCCACCTCCCCGATCCCTCTGGGGCCAAGCCGGGGCTGTGCTGGCAGGGGTGAAGGAGTAGCCGCAGCATTGCTTCACCTGGAGGCTTCTGCTCCCGCTCAAGGGCTGGAGAGGGGCTGGGCTCCCCGCTCCCCTGCGCTGGCGGGGGAGCACTGCGACACCGAGACCTCACGTCCTCCCTGCAGCTCCGGCTTTCTCTCTTTGGGCCAGAGTCTGGTGGCCCCCTGGCCCCCGCATGCCAGGGCAGCCTCTTTCTTTTAGCAGTGGTCGCTCCCCAAATTCACCCAGAACCTTCCTGCTTTTCTCTTGCTGCTGCTGGGCTTTTGGGACCCTCCTGAGCCCTCTACCTGCTGGGTAGATGGTCTGGGGAGCCGGCAGGATCAGCCCCCATCCCTGTGGCTCTTCTGAGCGAGGTGTGAAAGATCCTCCCCCTCTGCTGCTGTGCTGGGGACCATCCTGGGTGACCATCCTGACTGGCAGCTCCGTCTTGAGTGGCGGAGACCAGGGTTTGGCACCCCGAGCCACCCTGCACCTCTCACTGGTCCCCAGCGGCGGTGGCTTTTGGGGCCACCGCTGACTTGGGATCATGTCATGGACCAAAATCTCAAAGCACATCCCTGTCTCCTTCTCTTTTGGGCTCCGAAGCTGCTGGAGCTGGACAGGGGCAGGTATAACTGGAAGCCTGCGCAGGGAGAGCAGGAGCAGGATGCTCTTGTCCTGGGTCACAGAAGCTGAATATCGGGGCAGCGGTCATGCCTCCGTGCTGCCTCCGGCATTCCTGCTGCCCCGTCCCTGCTCACAGCCCCGGCTCAGCCCGAACCGTGGAGACTGGGCAGCCGGAGGGGACCGTTCCCCTGCCAGGCTGCTCGCGGCTTTGGCTGCACTGCACCACAGGGGCAGGATGCTTCCAAGGGGAAGCTGCCGCCTTTGCTATTCCCAAAGGAAAAGAGGGAATCTAGGGACCAACGCGGCTGAGTTGAGACGTTCCTTGGCTCTGTTTGGGGACACGTCCTCGGGGATGGTCTCACGGAGGGGGGAGAGGATCCCACCGCCTCAACGCTTGCAGTCCCCTTTCTCAAAGCACATGGGGCTGCAGGGCTGGTTCATGGACGGTGCTGGGGTCGAGGTGACCGGAGTCGGGAGCTGCTGGAGCAAACGCTGTTCTGGCAGAGACGGGGTTCCTGGCAGGGCAGAGACCCGCCGGGAGGGCATGAGCCAGGCAGAGGGGAGCGTTTTGCTCCTGGCTCCTTCCCCAGCTGGCTGCAACGGGAGAGGGGAAGAGTGATGGGGACTCCTGGTACCGTCGGTTCCCTTGGGGTGAAAACGGGACCCCAGAAGCAGCCAGGATGGGCTTTACGGGATGGGAATCCCAGTTGGTGCTAAAACAAGCAAGCACAAGAGCAGGAGAGAGGGGGTGGCTGGGCAGGGGGGGAGTCTGCATCTCCCTGCTATTCCTCTTCTTAATCACGTTCTTGTCTGGGAATGGGGGGGAGTATCAATGTGAATAAACTTTTTTAATGGACCAAATAACACAGGCAATTACGTTTTGGTATACAGACCTTTTTTTAATGCTACCTTGAGACCATTGTCCTAATTCTCCCCTCCCATACCCTGCCCCTTCTCCCCTACCATGGGAAACAAACCTCTTACTGCTTGATTTCTGCCTTTTCTCTCAACTTATGCACTTTTTTGCCTTTTTTCATAGCTGAAAAGCACCTAAACCTGTATTTAAAATAAATAAATAAATAAAATAGTAAAAAAAAAGAAGAAAAATTAAAAGCTAAATTGCTTCTCATCACGTGTAAAATAGACCTTGTCCATCCCAGCTTCCCTGGTTGCGTCTCAGTGCTGAGCTTAGAACGTGTTTTCTTCCAGATCCGTTGCTTGATTGGGGTTTGTCCTTGTGTACTCCTTCCCGTCGGGTTGAGCACCCACCAATAAAAAATGTTATTTGGCCTTTTTAACTGAACCATCGAATGAAACAAACCAACTGATTCTCTTCCCGGTTTACTCGAATTAAAAATAAAAGTATAATTTTTACCTGCCGATTGCGCTGGGTTTGATTGCGGTTGCTTTTCTGGCCATTTTCCTGCTCCCTTGGGACACAGTAGGGATCTTGGGTCCAGGGGAGGCTGCCAGAGCCAGGGTCCTCATCTCTGCCTGGCTCCCCTGGGAATGGGAAACACTGGCATTCCTGGGAACCAGCCTGGGATGCGGCTTCTTGGCTCGTCCCTTGCTCTTAGCATGGTGTGAAGCCAAGGGATACACTTGAAGTGTTCAGACCCCTGCTGCAGCGTGTCTGGCTGATGTGCTGTGGCCACTGGGTACCACAGAGCCCTGGGAAATCAGCTGCGAAATCCAGCTGTAAGCCATGTTGGAGAAATTGTCATAGGGGGACGGAGGTGCAGGCGATGCCTCTGTTACAACATGTGTCTGGGATTTGCTGGGGTTCAGGTGTGCCGGTGGCTGCTCCGGAGACCAGACCCATCCAGGGAAATGGTCAGTGTTGCTGTGAGCAGCGCAGCATGGGCATCAGGTCCCAGTTCTGACCGACTTCTGTGGGAACGCAGCACGGCAACAGCCGGGTCCTGCAGACCCCAGCCAGCCCTTGTGCTCAGGGAGCAGCTGGCGACAGCTTAGCTTGGCCGCTGCAGCCTCTCAAGGTGGGATTTTCAGCAATTACAGTGTTAGACAGTGGGAAAAGAAAATCTTGAAGGTATGCGGAGAAGGATGTTATTTGCATCAACAGCACTAGCCAGAAAAAATTAAAATAAAAAGGCTCCATGGCTGTTGCTGCTCACTTAAAACCATATCGCTTTAAACGGTACTGAAGCAGGTGGTGTGGCACTGAAAGCAAAGGATGCTGCAGCACCCCAGGAGTACCAGACTCTGAAAGGTGAGAGTTCAGAGCAGTCCAGACTGATTGACAGGGCTTTGCGATGGCCAAAGCTCATTTTTGCTTCTTTCCCCATAGGGTGGGCCCTTTCCCAGCTACAAACGGGGACTCGCATCACCATAAGCACCCCCAGAAACTGGGCAGCAGTTTGGGTAAGGAAGAAGCGGGGGCAAAGCAACCCTCCCGCAGGCAGACAGTGCCTCTCGGGAGCCCTGCTCCACTCTCCTCCGCCCATGTGAGGCTGAAGCCCCATCTGACCGCCTGTGTTTATCCCTTTATTTTCCGCCTGCCTGCTGGAAAGCGGCTCTGTCAGCTCCGGCATCATCTCTCCATCCTGAGCAGAGCGAGCCGTGCTCTGGCTGGGAGGGGAGGACGCAGCGGCTGAGCCGCAGGGGCTGGCGAGCGAAGCGGCGGCTCTCTGCCGAGCATCCCCTTTCCACGCCGCGGGGAGCCCGGCAGCTCCTGCCCCACCAGCTCCTCGCTCACCATGCTGGATATTTTCATCCTGATGTTTTTTGCCATCATCGGCCTGGTGATCCTCTCCTACATCATTTACATGCTCTAGAGCGATGCTGGGGAAGATGCGGCTCAGCATCAGCCTCACAATCGAAGCATCGTCCAGGTGAGCCGGCTGCTCCTCGTCCCACCAGGCTTTAATTTCTGGGAAGAAAGGTGTCTGGGGAGCGGGGGGAGAGGGGATAGTTTTGGTTTTAATGCTGTTGTCTTTGGCTGCTGCTCCCTCTGCCTGGCCGAGGCAGCCGAGCTGTTTCCTGCTCAGGGCTGGAAGGAGGGCACCAGGGTTTATTTTATAAATCAGGCCACCTCGCCGGCTGAAATGTGCACCAGCTATTGTGCAGCTGCTGGTTTCTCCCTGCTGGGTTTATCAGCCCCTTCCCATTTGGAAAAGCTGCTCTCTGCCTTTTATAGTGCTGCAGCATGAACTTGTGGCTTTTGTTCTCAAGAGGGAGAGAAATAAAACAGCTTAGGGGAGAAGCAAGAAGGGATCCCGGTTGCATCATTTTAAAGGAGGCCAAGGGAGGGGGGCCGGTGTCCTGGTGCCTTTGCCCCCCCTGTGCCAGGTGAAGGGGGGGCTGCTGCCACTGCCTGGGCTGGCATACCCTGCCATTGCCACCCATCACCATCTCAGGGTCTCCCGCAGCTCTCGTGCCCAGCTCAGACAAGCCTCTCCTTTCTTTTCCACAGCCGCCGCCTGGTCCGTCTCCCTCGGAGCCTTCTGGAAAAGCGTTAACCCTCTGCAAGCAACCGGCTGCCCGACACGGAGCAAGGAGCCGCGCGGGCTCAGGGCCGGCGTTGCAGAGGGAGCTGAACAGGAGCGGCCAAGTGAGGCGAAGGAGGGAAATGGGGTGGCAGGGGAGAGGGCTGCGAGGTGACGTCCCGCTGCCGAGATGTGGGTTGTTCCCGGTGACGCATGCGGCGTGCCGGGGGGATGCTAAGGGTCCTGCCCCTCCCCGTGTGGCTTAGCCCCTTAGGATGAGCGCTTCCGAGGTTGGTCTTTTGGGTTTAATTTTAGAAAAGCACTTATATTTTTAATGAAAAATGTTCAAGGAAATGAAATAAAGAGAGGAATGATACAGGAGAGTGAACACGTCTGCTGGTGTTGACTCTGCCGAAACGCAGCCCCGTGCACCGACTGCAGGGCTGGGGCGCACACGGCTCCAGGAGCAAACCCCGCTTCTGCAGAGAGGCACGGGGCACCCTGCGAGCCCCGAGAAGGACGAGATATTGGCGAACCATGCTGAGACACCTCTATGTCCCCCAGCCTGAGCAGCAGCTGCTGTGGAGGGGTCCAAACCAGGCTCTCTCCTGCTTGGAGGGTGCCTGAGCATCTAAGCCATGGCTCACTCAGGTCCTCACTCAGGTCCCCTCTCCTGTGTTCAGGGGAGGTCTCAGTTAATCTCAGCATAGAAAAAAGGAACATTTTTAATATGATGGAAATTTCTGTGGGATGGAAAGAACATTTCAGAGCTTAATTTCCCCCAGCTTGGAGAGGTCTGGGAAGGTATTTGGGGCATCAGGAGGATTTTTCCTGTCCTTTTTTGAATCCCTGCATCGATCCCTGCCCTCACACTGTCAGTCACATGCAATGCTGTTTTCAGACTGAAAGATTCATCCTCCTAGAAGACAAAATTTTCATATGCCTGGTCTCTCCCAGGAATATATTTTTTTTAAGCAATAAACATCTGAAATATCTGTAATGGGAAAAACTACTCACACCCCATTAGTTAACCACAGCACCATCACACGAGTGGGTGCGAGAACAGGATCCAGGGAGAGCAGGGGCTGTGCAGGCACTGCCGGGGTACGCTGGAATTGGTTGGTAAGACTTTCAGAAGAAGGTATTTACAGAAAGAAGAGGGATTTCAGAGTCTGGGAATGCTGGATGCAGTTAGCATTGCCAGCCAAATACTTGACACTGCAATTTCCTGTTAGTAAAACTCCTGAGAGAAACGCAAAGTTGGTGAGTTTGCTCCCAAGCGTGTTCTCAGTGCACCAGCCTCAGCCCGAGCTCCCCCGGGGCAGTCCCTCACCGCTGAGCCCCGGAGATGCGGAAAGGCTTCTCCTCACTCCACCACCAAATATAGTCGAAAATCAGAAGCTTGAAATATTCTGGGAGGAATGTCTTCAAGCATAAGTCATGTTCTCAGTAACCTCCGCTTCGTGAATCTGTATCTGATGTCAACATCTGCAGTGATTAAGAGAGAGTAAGTAACAAGGAATGCATGGAATGGAAACTCAGCTGAGTGTGAAACCAGGAACAATAATTTTCTCTTACTCCAAACGCTCCTCTCCCCTCGGAAGGCCTTACAAACCCACCAGCTATGCGTAACAATCCTTTCCTCCATGCCCCAAATCAGCCAGCTCCGCGCTGGAAGGTGAAGTGACCCAGCCCAAAAGCTGGGGACTGCAAAGGGATTGAAACCGCCAGGCAGGAGAGGTGTTTGCAGACAGACAAACGGCCACAGCGGACAGGGACAGCTCTTTAGCAGAGGGGATATGGTGCTCTGCAGCTCAGATTGCAGTCAGGGTGCAGCCCTGCTCTGAAAAGGGCTACACTGGCACAAGGGGAATTTTGCTTCTCATCCTGGGAGGGTTCTACCGACTGCCCACGGCAGCAGTTAAAATTCGGCAGCAGAAGAAAAAGCACCATTTTCTCAAGTATCACTGTCCCGGCTCCTCTGGCGCATGGTGCTGCCCGGGGGCTCCCCACCTGGACACCATTAGCCCAGCGGTGTTTAATTACGAGAGCCGATCAGAGGGTGATATTGGAAAAGGAGACTGCAAGGCTGGTGTCATTTTCCAGTTCAAACAAAACTGGTTTGGGAAGCACCGCTTCGGTGGGTTTGAGCTTTGATCCCTTGGGGAGGAAGGTCCTTGTCTGGTGGAAATGCTGGCATACGTCTGAACGCTGCTAAAACTAATGCCAAACACTTGCTGAGCTATTGTGTATGTAAGAGCGGTTAATAATAATTAATAATGCCATCAATATTTCACAACTGGCAGCCGCATAAAACTTGCATTCCTGGAGGATCTGCTGCGAGAGCAAGCTAGTGCTGGCAGAGCTGACATTTCATCTTTGTTGGCTGCTGCCAGTGAATCAAAGAACTTACTTTTCCTGTATCGCTGCGCTCGCATAATGGCATCCCTTGTGATGGGCTGTAATTTATTGCCGCTGTGTCCTCGGTCCCGGGAGATGAGAAAGGCACTGGCAGAGAAGCTCCGCCAGCTCTGTGGCGCTTTGTGTCGCAGCACGGCGACGCAGCGTTACACACCAGAAATACAATGGAGCAAGAAGACGCGGTGGTTCAAGAGTCCGCTCCATAATTCTGGATTTCATCTATTGAGATTATTTATTGGTAGCGATCCCTGCGTATAAAGGGAGGGACAGCTAACGATCCGGGCTGTAGCATTCCGCCTCGGCAGCTTCTTGGTTGCATTGCCCTGTCACTGTACGCACTGCAAGTCTGTTTCCTGCTTGTATTTTGAGTTCTTTAGTGATCAGTTTGGAAGCATTCAGTTTACTGACTAGATACCAGACAGAGCGGGTTGCATTTTGCTTACTTCAGAAATAATACGTAGTTGCAACACAATTGTAGTATTGCAGCGTGCTCTTAAATATAACCTTCAGTGAGAAAAAAAGGGATGTTAGAAGCAATTGCTAGCAGACAGTCCTCTCAGGGAAGGTTTCACCTCTGCCATCTACTGGCACACTGCAAAGATCCTCAGCAAATTTATATCCCATATCCACTCCTTAATCCTGTCTGTAATTGTATATTCAACAAATGTTGGAAGATTTTTTAACATGCAAACTTCCAAGCAAGTCATCACAGAGCTGTTGTCAGCTCATTACTGATGAAATCAAGTGGGGGCAGCTGAGATAAATTGGTACCACTTTAGCTGTTTCCAGCAGTTGAAGACTGGCTTTCGAAGCTAAACAGGGGGTCCTGCAGCTCAAGTCTGGTCCTGAAGGAACACTAAAACATTTGGCAAGGGATTCAGTTGGAGAAGGTGGCTATTTAATAATATGAAGAAAACAGCCGTGTTGTAAACAATGCACAGTAAAGTAAGTGCTTTTTATTATGTGTTACATATTTTTGTTTTGAAGGCAATATAGCAGAAAATCAAAACCTTTTATAAGTAGCAAACATTTATATACTTTAACGAAACAGTGATCTTAGCCTATGTGCATTTAACGTGTGTCTTCAACTTAGCTAAGTCCTATGAAGGCAAATACACTTTAACAGTTCAGTTTTTACACTAGGTAGGGAAAGGGATTTGGAGTTTCTTCTGCTTTATGGTTAAAAGGCACCTGTAGTTTGAGGGGATAAAATTGCCTCGCTTGATCAAAGCAGTTAAATTGCTTTCAGGAATCACCTCTTTCTGCTAAAACTGAATGTGCAATCTATGGAGCACTTCTGTCACAGAATGTAAGAGTTAGTGAGAGAGACCCTGGCAAACTGGAAAAATGTAGCTGTGCTTCTCTAATTATGTCTGTCTCTTTCTCCTCCGATTCCCAAGAGAAAACAAAATTAAAAGATCAAAATGTTTTTGGTTCTGAACTAAGATAACATTCTCCAATTTGTGTATGCACATCAAATATGAAAACCATGTCATTTTTATTGTGTATGCAAACATGCACAGTGGGAAAAGAATGCGGTTCATGTTCCCAAACGGAGGCCCCCAGCCTGCTTCCTCAGTGTGTCTTAACGCAGCCTCAGAGGAGCAAAACGCATAGAACTCCATTGCAAATGCTTAGCGGTCCCCAGTCGTTCCATGAGCTCATTCAGCTGGTCTGACATGTATGTCACTAGCTTCTCCTGCTGCCACTCCAGCTCTTACTGGAATGGAAATTTAAGAAATAATTGGACGCTGCTTTGCAAATGTTCTTAAAAAAAAAAAATCCAGCAGGATTAGAGCAAGAGTTGGTAGAATTCAGAGCATCAAATGGTGTTGCTGTTTTCTCTCATGGTCAGGTACAGGATTTCTTTATGGAAGTTCGCTTGTGCATTTACGAGGTGAAACAAATTCAAAAAGCTGCTGTCCTCTTCATCACGATCCCCTACCAGGCCAAAGAAAAACATTTTTAAATGATTAGTGAAACTAAATTACTTCTTTGAAGATAAATCTTACTCATTCAGTTTTTCAGCAGAGGCTGAATCAGCAGCCTCCACTTAGATTTATGAGGCATCAGCTACTGCACCTGATGGCAGGACAGCTGTGAAATAACACAGGAGACTCTCTCCAAAATTCCTTCGCCAGCTTGTCCAGAGACAGACAAGAACAATTGTGCGTTAAGACAAAAATCTGTCCTAACTGAGCAGGCCGTTCATCTTTACAGCTTGCCATCATAATCACTCTCAAGGCCTTATCAAGGCTGACAAGCTGTGGACAGGGAGCAACTGCAGCTTGTTGAGTTGAACAGGCTGGCTGGCAGCTGCTCAGAGCCTGTGCTTAGACACAGCCCAAAAGGACCTCAGGTCCAATGCTCTGGTGGGACCTATTTTAAAAGACCGTTGGTTTCACCATCCATGGCACTAGGAATCTCTTGGACAAGAGAGACGAGTTTAAATAAATGTCTCTCCCAGTTATGACACTTGATTGTTTATTTTATGTTATCAGAAAACTTCAGGCACTCCGGTATTTTTCTGCCTGGTGAGGGAGGGAAGGAGGACAGGCTGTGATGCCATGCTGTGTTGCTGAATGCCTCGGTCAGTGCTAGCTCCCTGATTCAAGAGCTCGTCCTGGCTCACCGAGCCACAGGCTTACCAGACAGTACTGCCTGTAGCATGTCCATGATCATGTGAGCGAAGGCATTCTCCACACACTGCAGAAAGTTGTTTCTCTCCCCTGGAGTGCTGAAAACTTTGCAAACCTTCTGCATCATTTTTACTGCCCAGTCCATGCAGTACAGGTCCTTCTCACAGACCTGACATACACAGGAAATATTAGAAACACACCTTTCATGATGAGTACAATGCTATAAAAGGCAAGATTAAATCTTAGTATTATACTAACAATTGATTCTAATGAATGACTGAATCGGTTGCAGCCACGGCCTGGAAAATTAGGGTTTGTTACGAGGACATAGAGGTTGTTCTTGTTGTTGGCTTGCTAACAGAGGAACTTCTCAACCTTTTGCTAGTGGTACTTCTCCTCAAGGACAGGCTTGCTTGCTTGCAGAGATGTGCTGGACAGGGACCAGAGGGTGGAAGAGTACCATGCCTCTGGCTGGACTTACTCCTGGTTTGTAGGAGTAGATGGGGAAACAGCTTTCAAGTCTGAGAAAGCAAATCTGGGGGTAGAGATGAAAGGCCCGAGCCTGCTCTGTTCAGTAGTACTCACCAAAGCCAGGAAGACTGTGAATCTGGCTAACTCGACAGCTCTCCCATTCACAGCTTTACTGGCCATGAAAGTGAAGCAAATGTTGTTTCCACTCAGAATCAGAAGGCGAGCATTGTTCTCCATGAGCCACTCCCGGGGAACAACTTTGTAATAAAATAGAGAGTATTTTAGTGATCTTTGAACAAAAAGAAAGGAGTGCAACAATAACTATTCTTGAATTTATGAATTGTTGGCTTTGACAGCTAACCAGAATTTGTGAGGGGATACCCTCTGGAATACAATTGCAGCAATGAAGTCAGATAAGCAATTCTTACTGGCAGTACAGTTAGAGCTCTTCACGATAGCTTCTGTGATATAATCTCACCCAAAACTAACTTTCAGTGTAGCCATTAACATTGTTCAGTAGAATTTTGGCTTGAGCAAACACTGTGTTTTCAGCTTACACAGCTTGGACAACATTTCCTTAATAATGGCTAGACAAGACTTGAATTTTAAAGGTCTGCATGGATTCTTAAAATATTTCACAATGGGGAAAGACAGCTTGAATTTGTAAGCAGTGCTGGGTTTCTTTCATCCTCAGCTACTGCCAGGCTTCCAAGTGTAATGACTTTTCCAGTTACGCCACAGCTACTGCAAGGAATATTGCAGTCAGTTTCCCAAGGCACCTGTGTGTCTGAAACACACTTATTACCAAATTTGGAGGACATGAGCATATAATCCTATGGATTAGTGATAAAGGCAAAAACACACCTGACAGCTCATCCACAAGACTGATAACATCATCTGCTGTCCATTCTCTAGCTTCTGTATCATACAGCAGTTTAATTGCATCTGCTAGACCTTTCAGACTGGTCTCATCTGTTGGTCCTTCTATCATTTTCTGCCAAACCACATGTCCTGAGTAATATATTAATCACAACTGCTATTAAGTGACAAAGTAATTTTTTTTTTTTAAACAAGGTAGGTGCTAAACTGGGCCTTACAGCAAAGTTGGAGGAGGGGAATTCAGGTAACACAACCAAGTCTTTGTGACAGTGAGATTTTTTTTGTCCATCTGTTATTTTAGTAGGGACAGTGGTAGTTGCAGCATGAATCAAAGGGCGATTTAAAGAAACCCAGGTCTAATAATTAAGGGAGAGAGCATGCTTTTCTTCAGGGAAACACATGCTTCTTTGAGGTGCATTCAAGCTAAGCCTACCCTAAGCAGGGGAGAATAGAGGAACAGAGGTGCAATTTCTTCATTTGAATTGTAACCTTTTTAGAGAGAGAGAGAGAGAGATATGGATATGTATATACATGTTAGTGAGGTCTGGTTAAGCAGAATTATTTTTTTTTTCTAGGCAATATGATTACATTTTATTTGTATAAAGCTCAGCTTTCAGAAATGCTGCATCCTGCAAGGAAATCTCATTCTCAGGGAACAAACTTTGAAAATTAACCCCCCAGACTACTCGCCATCAAGAGAGGACACTGGCCCAAAGATGATATACAGCAGGCGAGCTTGATTGACCATGGGCCATGGCTTTAAAATACGAGTCAACCAAAATGCAGAATCACTTCGATGAATCCAGTGGTTCAATAAGACGCTACGACAGTATAACCTTATTCGCAGCTCTAACTTTCGGGCACTTCCTGGGGTAAAAGAATGTAGATATTATAAATCCATCAAGCCTCATGCAATACAGATGATCACTTTTTTTTTTTTTAAATAGGAAGAGAAAGAAGGATTTTCTTAAAGCTGCCCAAGAACATCTAGGGGGATTTAATTAAATTCTCAGCTGTTACTTCCCGAGTCTGGCTCTTCTGGATATGTTGCACTAATTCAGGCCATAGAATCTATGGTGAAGAAAAAAAAGCTGTATTCATCTATATGAAGGCCAAGTATTTGCTTTAGAATGCCCACTTTCTGCATAATATTGGAGCTAACAGAACGTACATGAGAGTCAGGAAAGGATTGGTGCTACAAGGCTTAGCTGAGCTAAAACATTCTCAATTCTAGACACATTTTGTTTGCGGTAATCAAGATCCATTTTCTGACTTCTCCATGATAGCGCATTTTGATTTTGTAGGACTTTTGTCTGCTTTGATGATTACCCGGTTTGCTGCTGACAACTGTCTGTACTTTACGGGGTAAATTGCTCAGCTCACAGAGGAAGTTAAAAACTCGGTGACACTCTAGTTCATCCCAGCCTGCTGTTAGGATCTGAAGATTACAAAAGAAAGGGGGTAAAAATGAACAGATTGAGCCATAGATTTAGATCACAGTGCCATTTCTCATATTAGATAAATATAATCTGTCCTGCAATTTATCAGAAAAACAGAGAGGGAAGGTGTCATACCTGGAGTGTGGTGCCTGCACAGCATCTCCCTGATGAGTGTAGGGAAACCATTATCTGTACATTATGGCAGAGGTTGTACTTAAGCTTAATGCAGCCCAGAATCAAAAGCTGCTAATGATGTTCCACATTCAGGGCCAAGATCTTATTTTTGTACCTTATGCAGGAAAGTACACGAAAGTATTTGCTACAAAGACAATTGTCCCAGCTCAAATAATTACCTGTAACTCTTAATCACAGAAAGATAATCACATTTTTTGTATTATCAAATACTTTAATGCTGCATATGTATACAACACCTGTATGCATAAGTTTCTAAGACTTAAATGCATTTAAAATGTGCTCAAAATGCCTGTTCTTCTAAGAGAGAATTTGTTTCTGTATTTTTCTAATCAAAGTTACTCTCCAGTAAAGCCTCCATTATGGCAATTCTAATACTTCACAATCAAACGTCTCAAGTAGTGTTAAAAAGGTCCTACCCTTAGTGTTTTACTGCCTATTTGCAATCACAGTAAATAAACAGTGGATTGCTGAACTAATTCATTTGACACTGATTTTTTTTTTTTTTAATTAATTTTAAGCTACCACAAGCTAACAGAAATATTCTGGCATATGATGTGTATAGCCATTTACTTTTAAACTAAACCACCTCTGCTCTTGGTTTGTGAATTTGAAGCTGTGTAATAAAATGCTCCCCTTCTCCCATGTCTTCTTAGAAAATAAATCGCTAATCAAAATCCAGGCTGGTTGGTAGTGAAATCCAGACCAAGGAATTCTCAAGAGTCAAATCAGCAACTTTAACAACCAGAAAGGAAATTCAGAGAACTGTGTGAATAAATACCTTCCCCCCTACACCCCAAGGCTCAAAACTATCTTATACTTCTAAATATCTTGCAAAAACACAGATTAATTTAGAAAAATACCTTAATTTTCTTTTATATTTGTGATACTTGCCTTCTCTCCATAAAGATACTGTACCTGTAAAAATACCCCATAGCACTGTAATCCTAAACAATGCAAAGGACTTGGACAACCATTAAGTTTAAAACAGGAAACCTGCAAGTGCAAAACACTAGTAATTTATCTTAACTGACCATAAACTAATTCCTGTGATTGAAAATTCTCTGTACTACTTGTGTACATCCATACTGATTAGAGAGATTCAGAAGAATTCCCTTCCCTTACTGTACAAGGAAACAAGTTATAGTACCAATGTTATAGCTTAGCATTAAGTTCCAAACTGTGGTCAAGTGGGTGTGCAAAAGGTCTCTAAGAAGAGCAATCCTGTTTTCAGGAGAGTAAAATTTCTATTAAGAGCTGTGCTCTTCCACTGCAAAATTTCTAGTGGTCCACAAACAAGAAAAGTTGAAAACCACTGGTCTTGGAATATGAAATCTCAGTAGGACAGCCTTGTGTTCAATATGCTGGCTTAGGCTTTTCTATTGTTATTAAAAAGAAACCGATTTCAAATCAATAAATTACACAGTAGTAATAAACTCCAGCAAAGGGACAATAAAAGGCATAATTCAACTAGAAATTGCCTTACAGAAATGGTATTGTAAGTGCAAGGGACAATTCAAAACACTAGTGAAAGGAACAGGAACTTACTTCTGAGAGAATCTTGTGTATATACTTTAGCCTATCTTTTGTAGGCAATAGAAGTGTGCATCTTTTAAGCAACAATCCTGTGAACAAAACGAATACATACACGACTATGAGTGTACGTACATGGCACATACATTACTGAATTAGCTTAAGCATTCACATCATATGCATGCACACACCAGTGAAAAATGGCTGCTGCTGCAAGGTGAAGAGAGCAGCAAATAGTAGTCTGTGCTTTGGAGAAGGGGTGTATGCTTTTGTAGCAGGGACATCTTTTACTAAAGAAATGTTGTCAGGCAGTATGTAGGTTTCCTATGCCATAACTTGTTTATTGTGTTGTTTTAAAGTCCCTGTTAGTCACAGTTGGAGCCCTATTAACATTACTATATTGGTTTTAGAATTACAGCTGTTAAAAATATTGGAAATAAATGTTACTTGTTGCACCTCTTTTAACTGCACCCTGGGGAACACTGGTTTTCCCCTTACATCATGGAAAGCCGAGCTTCCAAAGTTTTTTCAAGATAGCCGCATGCTCTGAAAAGAAAATATTCTAAACTGTGTTAATGTAAAACATAGCTAAGAGGTAAAATTATTTTCCTATACAGGACTGAAATGGTATGTGTTTAGGATGTCAAAGTCTGGAGTTCATTATAGTGTGGAACAGCTGTTTGTTAAGCAGCATTTTTTTTCTCCACTACTGATAGAAAATGGGTTAACAACTTGGTCTTCAAAAACACGTACCAGAATAAAATATATATATCATTTGTTAATTAGTCAAGAAATCCACAGAAAAGTATGTACTTTTCTGGAGAAAAAAAAAAAGGAACCTTTTTTCCTGATTTGTCAGTCTCTGCAAAAATACATAACTTCATGCATTTACTGTAGTTCTAAATTGACTCTTTCCATATTTAGAAGTGTGTTAGCATTCCCACGTGACAGACATAATTTATTCATCAACCTTGGACGTGGTCCAAAGCTCAGTCAAGTCAATTTTCTATTGACTAGGTTAGACTTTGGAGAGAACTCCCTGAAGAATTGTTGAAACTGTTCAGACTGTGTAGCTGCAAATCAGAATACAGCCATCAGTGTGGGGAAAAATTATGTTGAGTAAAAAGGGTTGAGCAAAAAGTACTGCTCCTGGTTTTGCACGGCAAAATCCCCCTTGTGTGGAAGGACAGTGCCACGACCATTTATAGCTTGAGTCCATTTTAAACAATGACCGAAATTCTGTGCCATTACAAGTACTGGAAGATTTTACCATGGACTTGAGTGGAGCCAGACCCTTCTGAGTTTAAGTGAGATTTATGTACTATGTAGACCCTGTTCAGGCTTTCTGAACAGGAATGAATTTTTCCCATTGAGTGTCGTCTTTCCTGCTGTAAAGTAAATATTGATTTTGCAACTGACCTCTTAACAAAAACGTTCTCTTGAGCCTTCCACTGATGACACAGATATTGCCAATGAACTTCATATTTTGAGTATGTCATGTTTTTACTATTAGGCCTACTATAGCGATGGGTTCACACCTACCTTTAAATAACAAGTTGCCATTTTGTATGTTGTTACTACAAAGCCCAAATTAATTTTTTTTTTTTAAAGAATTTTAGGGTTTCAGGCTTCATTTTAAAAATAAAATGCTAATTTTAAGATACCTCACAACCTAGACGGATTGCTTACAATAGGAGGTCTTTGGTCTAAATGACTTTAAGTTCAAACCATACTTATAATTCTGCATCTAACCATGACATCATTTTATTTCTCTGTCAAATAATGCTTTTTTTAATCAGATGGGTAATAGTAAATAGATATGGATCAAATTATGTTTTAATTTAATTTGCTTTTCTGAGAGAACGCTTTAGAATGAATTAGAATCAATGTGTTTTAAAAATTAGCAGAAAAGTTAAAAAGCAAACAATTTTGAATTTGAGGCTGTACAGCACTCCTCATTACCACTGAACCCATGTTATTTTGATCTAGATTCCTATTACACTATGCTAAAAGTGGTCTTAGCAGCTGAAAGAAAGAACAAGTGAATCTTTTCACCCAGAAAAGGTTTGGTTAGCATACAGTATACCATGACAGTGAAAAGTGCAGGCATTTTCACGTTGCCCTTAAGCTAAGAGCGAGAGGAAGACGTGTTCTTCGTGCCCATCTCGGTCACAAAGCTGCCAAGGAGAATGCTAGTCACTGACAACTGTGATAACATTTTTGTGACAAGCCTACTTCTTTTCTAAGAAGTGGAATGTGATCTGCAATACATCTCAAGTAGACTATGGAGCAGTCTTTCTGATGGCAACTGTTGTTGGTCACTTTAGAATTAAGCTGGGTTTAAGCACTGCGGCTACATTTCCCAGACTGAGGAATGTGAGCTACTCCAAAGTGATACATGAAGGCAGTCTGAACAGCCAAATTCCTTCAGCTAGTGTGGGGCCTGGGTGTCTTGGTTTCTGCTGCAGTTTCCAGTGGTGGTGTCCAAACAAACTAAATTTGGAAACACCTACTACTGAGAACTGATCCTCTGCCCAGTCTCTGCTTGCCATTTAATAGGAAAAAATAAACATAGAGGAGGCAGAACATACATTATTTTTTCCATAACTATGAGGTTTTGGAATCATTTCAGGTAACTCCTCCCACCTCCCCCCGCCAGTTAATGGTATTTGAGTGGGCTATTTGGCAAGGGGAGGAACTTCACTTTCCGAGGGAGCTGCACAAATGATTTGGGCCATACCCTCAGCATTTTACCGATCGATGCATATAACAGAAGAAACCTTTTAACTGAGCTTGGTTCTCCTCTAATTGTTACCATTTGCATTAAAGGATCACCTAGAGATTTGTAGTGCTCTAAAATGTAGGATCCTTCTCTCTTGCCAGGTAGCTCAAGGTTATGAAAGTCTTGCAATAAGAGCCTTCGGTTTCCTGATGGGGTTGAGATGTAATTAACAAGGCGGTTGCTGATGGTTTTCGACACCATGCTCAGCATGCTGATATCCTTCACTGAAAAAGCAAAACCCAGTATACTTGTAAATCTTTACTGCAAGAAAAATGCTGATCACTAGTCAATAACTTTATCTTACTTCAAAAATAGGCCAAGAAATAATATTTACAAATAAAACAAAATTTAATTACTATTTATCTCCTTTGCCAACAAACTGTAGTAATTAGAAATTAAGAGATCTAAGGAATACTTTTCACACATAATAGGCAGAAACCACTTCAAATAGTTTGTAATTATCATTTAAATTTTGGTAATTTGGTTCTTCATACATAAAAGCTGAAAATTCAGAGAATAAGTCACATAAATTATTTCAACTAGCTAAAAGCTAAAACATTTTAAATAATTTTTTTTTTCTAAATGGAAAACTTTTGTGGTAATTTTCATATATCGGAAGTAATACCTTTCTTATCAGATTCTCACCTGAAAGATAATTCAATACCATTTGAAAGATCTCTAATGGAAGGGTTTGAAAATACCCAAGTGTTGACAGAGATTGGGAATCTGTGTCCAAGGTGTTGCAGCGCTGTCTGGAGCGACGGTTACGGCATCTGTATTTCTGGTTTGGAATTGAGGTGTAGCTGGTCCCTGGAGTGGATGTCATTGTTCTGTTAGTCCCATAAATTTAACCTGGGGAGAAAATATGAAAATCCTGTTTTCAGTGGAGGAAAATACTATACCCAAAACTAGGCTAAGAGGAAATCACTTCATTGTAGACACAGTGCTGGAGTGTGAAAATCTTGTCATATGCGTAGGATAATTTTTTGTTTGAATTTAGTGCGATGACATGCAATTTACTAAATAATTTTCTAATTCCATGTTTCAGAGAATGGAGTATTCAGCTGACCTTAGAGGAGGAAAAGATAAAAGCACTGGGGGACACCACATGAGTGGGACATCAGAAAGTTAGGAAAATAGTTCTAAAAGGAAACTCTTGAGGAAGTATATGCGATGGTACAAGCTACAGTAATTAACAACATTCTTTTACCTTGTTACACTAATTATTCAACAGAGTATGAAAAAGTTATAGGGATGTTATTGAAATGGTTGTCACGTTACTTGATTGTTGTAGAGTGATAACTACTTATACACATGCTTGCGTATGACCAAAAAAAAAGATTAAAAGCAACGAAGTGATGCTTCAAACCATTTTTCCCTGCAGCATTTAAATTGATACATGGCTTAATTTTATATAATGACTATATGTGTGGTATAAAAATAAATTATACAATATTACTATGTGAAAAAAATTCAGTGACCCAGGCTTTCCCAAAATCATGAGGGTCTGAAAATTAATGAGCTTTAAAAGATCAATAAATATGTTCTTTTGATTTGCCTTCTGGTTTCTGAGTCTCTAGAATAGGTATACTTCACATTGTCGGGCAACAATGACAGTTAGTGACTCACTACCTCTTAAAATTTTTTTTTAACTGAGATTTTTCACATTATTTCTTGATTCCAGCAGTTGAAGCTTCAGGGAAATTGCCAAGGAGAATGAGTGCTGCAGTATAATTACAAGAGCTGGCAGCACTGGTAGTAATATAACTGGAACCCATCCAAGCTGCAGTGCAACATCCCAGTTACCATCAGTGGGAAATACACTCAGAGAATAGAACTCATTGTTTCAAAGATTAAAAATTTACAAAAATTACAGAAAACAAGTTCCAAACATCCTTCATATTTATTACGAAAGCACGCAAGCCAGACCTCTCTAATATGCCACTGAGCAGAATTACCACGGCCACAATGGAAGCACTGTTTGTACTGACAACTGAAAGAATATGGGGCATTTCATTAACAGTGTTACAAATGGGTTTGGCTGACTTGTGCTGTGTGCTGGATGGAGTTTGCATTGTACATTTAAGGAAGTTATACTTTACTGGAAGCATTTTTAATTTAGGTATGGTATAATTCTAGCTAGCTAAAGAAGCTTATAGTTTAAACTTTCACAAGGCTCATGAGCAAATGTAACTGCTGCTAAAATTAGCGTCATTAGGCTTTTACGCTGCTCAGGCAAGAGACAGAAAATTGATGTTACACCTTTAAGAACAATCAAGAAACCACCTATAAATAAACATATGGTTATATGAAAAAATGTTTATCTTCTAGAAGCAAAGAAAGCAAAGTCTGAAGTCAGTGGAAATTTTATACACACAACTGTGGATTCAAGACAATGTAAATTCCTTGTGTACAATATAGAAAGCAGCTCCACTCCTGTTTATAAACAGGGCACCACTAAACTTTGTTCAAGACATGCTAAATCTGATACATATTTCTGCTTCATACCTTAGAAATAAAGTTGCAATGCTATGATACTTTCTTTTCCTCTCCTGCTCCCCTTACTGTCTTTAGCAGGACTGTACTGTAAGGATTTATGGCATCTTTAAGTGTTTTTTGGAAATCTTACCTTGGGTCTGCAATTGTGTTATATGGAAGAAAAAAATACTTGGCCACAGGGGAGGTTTTCAGAAGTACTCAGCCAATTTCAGTCTGTTTCTGTTCAATCTGATTGAAGTCGAACTGACTACCACTATTTTAATTTAGAGCAGAGCTAGATAAAATTAATGTAAATAAAAATGTGTACAAGCAGCCAGTTTCAAAGCCAAAGCTTAGAGACTTTACTGAATGCTCCCATTTCCTTCCTCTTTGACTTGATGTGTTTTTTATTTCTTAGGGAGTTCAGCCAGAGCAGGGCAATGGTCTGTGCATCTCCATCTGCTGCTGGGATACCACTTGTTTAGAGAACTGCTTAATCCAGACTGGAAAATTGAAAGGTAAATGTTAAATATTTAACAAGCCAAACTCATAATATTAGCCAAGAAGGGTCATCTTATTTGTTGCTATAAGCTAATTTGTTTACAAGGCAGAAAACATCAAGTTTCAACCCGCTCTAGAATATTTCTTTTCCTTAAGCAGTCGCTAAACTCCTGCTAATGGTTGCACTTTTGTCCTGATATTTCTCGGAGCCCTGCGTTAGCATTTGGCAAACGTTTATTGCAAAAGGTTGTTTACTTTGGAGATTGGCTTGGAACATTTCCGTTTCCCTGCCTCTTCACAGAGCATAAAATGAACTGCTTCAAATATTAACTCGACAGGTTTTTTTTCCTTTCCACACCTCCCTCCCCCCGCAATCTTCTCTTTTTTCTTTGTCAGCGCAAATAAAAACGTACGAGTTCAAGTGAGGGATGACAAACCTTAGAGCACCGAGCGTAGCCGTGGAGTTATTAGTACTCGTTACCCCCTGGCCTACACCGACAGTTTACAAAAACCATATTTTTATTTATGCTAAAGGTTCTACATCAGATTGGTTGTGCAAACCGGTCCCATAAGCATCTAAATCGGTGAATAACCATAAGTAGAAAGCAAATCTTGGAATCCTGATCCCACTGCTGATGGCGACAGGGATTTTTTTTGTTGTGAGGAAGGGCTGGTACAGGCTCGTCCCTTCAGGGCCCAGTCAGAGGGGAAACGCCAGCACCTGCTTTTTTTTCCTCACCCCAGGCTGGGTTTGCTTGTCAGACTGCAGTATTTGTGGGAGTGGGTTATATTTAGCCTTTTACCTGTGCTTTTGGTTCGGATTTAGCTGGGCTGTGACAGACCTTTAGGCCAAACAACCGGCTAGGCCGTGTTCTCCTCCACCCTCCACGGCCCCTCTCCCCTGCAGCCCGCCAAAATTGGGGCTAGGGGGCTGAAAACGGGGACCTGTGCCCCCAAACCTACACACAGGTAATAGAGAAGGCCTCGCGGTTGATGCCTACTTACGGGCAACGCTTTATGAGCTCTGTTTTACCTCAGAGAAATTCCCTCCCTACAAACAATCCCCGGCCGGGGTGCAGGCTGCCTCTGAGGGGAGCGGCAGAGGAATGGGGGGGGGGGTGAGCACACCCCTCTGCCTCTGGTGAGAACCATACCCCATATCCCTGGGGAGGGGCAAAAAATACATTTTTGAAATTGTTATTATTTGAAATTTATTTTTTTAAAGCATGGTTTCAGTCAAACGTCACTCCTTACTGGGGTTAAAAGGGGGGCCTGGGCATGGTAATGTAGACAGGTGCACACAGGCAGGCACACCTGTGTTTGTGTATTTTACTCAAGAGCAGGAATGTTTGCAAACACGGAAAAAAAGATAGTTCCGTTTCAGGGCGGTGGTTGTCATGGGGGCTGATGGCGGTCACGTACGTGTTGGGAGGGAAGGAATTACTACAGGCAACAGGAGTGTTTTATTAATATTATTGATAATTCCGCCCCCCCTCCGTGAGTTTTGTGCTAATTTGTTTGTAATAATTATTTTCCCGCCTTTTCGCCCGCTGACCCTTTCAGCGCGGGGCGGGGGGGGGAGCGGGAAGGGCGGGCCTCGCGCACGGCTTTCCCGCCCTCTTGTGCCCCGCCCTCCTTTTGAATATTTAATCACCTCCCCGCCCCTCCCCGTAACGTCCACCGGGGCGGAAAGCGCCCCCCGTCACGAGCGCGGTGTAGCCCCGCCCCCTCATGAATAATCAACACAGGCGGCCCTCGGGCCTCCATTTCAGAAGGAGGCGGCTGCGCGGCCGTGGCACCGGGGTGAACCGGGGCGCGGAGCTGGGGGGGAGCCGGCAGCCGGCCCCAGCCGCCTCCTGACCGGGAGAGGTGGGCTCCCGGGGCAGTTTGGTGTCCTCGGGGCCGGGGTTGCCATGCCTCGCCGTGGGGCGGGTGGCTGGTGTAGGAGCGTGAGGTGCGGCGGGGCCTGTGCGCGTACATCCAGGCGTGGGGGTACGACGAGGAGCATCGCTCTGGGTGGAGAGCATCGGGTCACCTGTGGAGCTGTAGGTCTTCTCTGCGGGTTGCTGCCGTGAGCAAGTCGCAGTTGCGGCGTCGGCCTGCGTTGTAGCACGGCCCCCGCGTCCTGCAAAGTTATTCCTGAGACCAGGCCTGCCAAACCCCATTTTCAGTCTGCTGAGGAAAAACATGACCCCGAGCAACAGTGCCGGGCCCCGGCGTTTGCTAATGTTGGAGCAGAAGTTCGCTGCACGTCTCTGGGAACGCGATGCTGCGGGACAGGCTTACACAGGACTGTGAAACCTGCGTAAACATTAGTTACACTGCAGCGGAAAGGTGTCACAACACTAAGTCGGTGTGCCATAACATATGTCTTGGAGCAAAGCTGTAGCATTGTAAAACAAAAAGGTGGCACAATACCAGCTGCAAACACTGTTAGCGGAGGCTGTGCTGCAACAAGTAGTTACAAATTGCTGTGCAGCCGTTAACACACTATTGCATTATACTGTAAAATAATGTTCCGTGGTGCTGTGATCTCGGGAAACCTACGGCAAGCTGCCATTCTTTGTTAGAGCAGTAAACAGTTCGTATTTGCTAACAAACTGGTTTTTAAAATAACTATTTCTTTTTACAAATTCTGCTTCCGAAGTAGCTGACTATAAATAACTAGTTCTCTTGGGGATAGTAACTGAACCTCTCGGGAGAGGTTTTCTTGCTGCTCCGAAGGCAGTTCCCATACGATGGCAGCAGAGGGCTGCAGCTGGTTTAAAGGACTTTTCCCCAGTAGGTTACTCTTCCCCAAAGACAGTTGTTTGTTTTGTTTTGTTTTTTTCTGGAACTTTATTGAAG